AAAATAAGTCAAAACTTTTAAAAAATAATTTTAAATAATTTTAAATAATTTTAAATAATTTTTTGATATTTCCTAATTATGCAAAACAGTGACAAATTTATCAAAAATCGCTATCTCTCACTATCTCTCTCTCTCTCTCTCTCTCTCTCTCTCTCTCTCCAACTGTATATCCTTTCAACAAACTTCTATCTAATATCGTACAGTATATTACATCCCATTCCTCCGCTCCACTCACCCACACATCACAATTGAAACGGAAAATAAGTGATGAAAAAAATAGTATTTTTTGTACTTTTATTGCAACAGAAAAGGCCAAATAAAATCATAACTTATTATTGCATTTGTTGTGTATATAAGAAACAAATGATAAAAATTCAATTATAATGACAATGAAGTTCTGATAATAAACTTACGGATATTTGTTCGCTATTTTTGATGACCCCTTTAAGAACCGATTGCTTCCCTTGTATGGCACCCATGTATGGCATTCATCGGCAAATGTATGACAACTACTAATATATAGTTTTATTTTGTACCGGTAATAGTTATTAATAATAGTTATTATAATTTATTTAAATGAACACAATTACATCAATAAATAGCACACAAACAGAACATTATATCAAAAAAGTTTTGATATTGATTCGTACAAATATTAGAGAATTAAAGAATATTAATAATAAGTTAATATAAATGTTAAATATTAGATAATATAAGAATAAAGCATTAATAATAAACAGAATATATTATGACACCAAAGTTAATATGAAATGTCAATAATACAAGTATTTATAATATATAGACGAATGAGTCGTGTGGTTAAGAATATTCTGTTTCACTCGATATATAGTTGTATATAAGAATCGGAGAGCAAAACACATAACACAACGACTGAACGCTAACTGAAGTGCGGAATGGCTTTCACTTATAGTTATACAGAGTATTTGGTTTAAGAATCTATATATTGAAAGCAAACAGTGTTTGTGAGGATTCTGTAGCTTACTCTTGCAATAAAACTAACTCAACACACCTTCGCTCTCTCTCTCTCTCTCTCTCTCTCTCTCACACACACACACACTCACCCCTCATTGAATAAAACAATAAAACATTTCATATAAAAGTAATGTATTTATTTAAATAATTATTTATTTCACTAACAGTGGAATTATTAACACATTATTCTTGGCCTCCTTGATGGCGAACCAACGGCCCAACCGGTGCTCTTTGCCAATGCCTGCGATTATGAACTTTCCATTCGGACTAAACTCTAAACTATTTACAAAACCAACCTATCAATCAAATACAAATTCATTAATTAATCAATATTTCTATAAAGTATTCAAAAAGTACTGACGACTGGAATGTTCACAATTGGCTCTAATTTTCGAAAATCCTGCGAACACTTCCACAAACGGATCGTACCATCAGATGATCCTATGATTGACACAAACAAATAAACCAATAAAATAGAGATTAGTTTGCCTTGAATAACGCAAACTATTAGTTAATACAATACCTGATGCTATAAGATCTGTATTCCTCATGACTGCCAGCGCTGTCACCCAATTAGGAGCTGAAGTACTCAATCCATGGGCCACCGGATATGTGGTCAACGGCTTCTTCTTGAGTACTGCCCAAAGACTTATTGAACTACTTTTACAACAAAATAAGAATTAATTATCGGTGCAAACAAACCAAACAATCTCTAAAACACAGACCCGTTGTCATCGGCGGTAACAAAATGCTGTTCATCGATGAGTTTAACGCAATCCATGGAGTGCTGTGAGCCGTGGAAAACGAGTTGCGACTCTTCAGGTATCTTCCAGATGCGGGCCGAGGCGTCTCTGGCGCCTACAGTGATGGCCCGATCCCTGATGTAGCTGTCGATGGCTTGGATGGAGTCCTGGTGTCCGAACAGTGTCTCGATGTAAGACATTTCGTCCAAATTCCACACTTTCACCGAACGGTCGAACGACGCGCTGAACAACTGATGGAAGCCCTTCCGGAAGGCCAGTCCAGACACTGGGCCGCGATGTCCGCGAAATGTCTTCAACAGTGCCATCGTTTCTGGATTCCAGATATTGATTACTTTGTTGAGACAACCGGTGGCCAAGAATTTGTCATCACTGGAGATGGCGAGTGCCAGAATGTGCGCCGAGTGGCCCACCGATTGTTTATCATTGGCGGCCGCAGTCGATGTCGAAGTCTTTGCCTTCTTCTTCTTCTTAGGCTTATCTCTGAGGCCATGAATTGTCTGCAATCGTCGACACGACTTGAAATCCCACTTAACTATAGAGCAGTCCTTCGACACGGAAAACACGTACTTCTGGTCGGATGTGACCACAACTGCAGTGACAGACAGTTTGTGGCCGTTCTTCAGGTGCCGGATGTCCGACACGTCGGCATCCGAGTAATTGTCGGCCACTTTGCGCATCAAACGACCCGTCTCTTCGAGTATATCATCGCGCAATCGGTGGCCGATCGCCGTCTGGTCCACGTCTTGGCCCTCATTCTTCATCCTCTCCTCAGTCTCGATGGACTCCAAGTACTTCTTCGCCAGTCGTAACCGTTTCTCTTGCGGTGTCTCCACGTCTTCATCACTGCCGCCATCGCTGCCGACATCCGACCCGTCATTATCATTGAGTTTGCGTTTACGGCCGGCGCTGGACTTGTCGTCGATGTCCTCGTGTTGGGGGTCGTCATCCGAGTCGCTGTCTATCTCTTCGTTCAGTGACTTCTTCGTCGGCTTTTTGTTGCCTTTCAACTCATTCTTCCGGTTATTACCACTCGTTTGGCCCTAAATATAGTGCGAAAAGACATCGATTAAGACACCAACGGATCAAATGAGTGCCGATTTTGGACTCACTTTTCGTTTACCAACTTTTGATTGGTTTCTGTTTTTTCGGATAAAAAATGACATAATTTTGTCAAAAAGTTTACGATTTTAATGAGCGATAAATTTGGTGTAAAACTAATTAATGATTAAATTAAATACAATTGGATTTACAAAACATGTTTACAATTCACGCAATGAATGTGTTTTTCAAAATACATGTGCTTTTGGTCTGTGAATCACACCATAAATATCGTACAAATGTATGCGAAACACATTTACTGCCCATAAATAGCCCCCTAATGTGTTTGCTATGAGATGTTCCCCTATATTGTTATTCTCACACATATTAAGACCGTATTATATGTGAATAATAAGAAAACTTTTTTATTACAGTATTAATATAATACAACTTTTATTATATATTTTACATTCAATGACTTTTAACTAGTAATACAGTTTTGTTCATAAAAAGTATGATAACTCATTGAGTAAATATGTATTTAAATAATATCATATTAATAATACAGGCAAACACTGCTATTATATACCACTGACTTTTATTTGTCATACAGTATAAGGAAAACGTTGAATAACTTTGAAAAGTGACAAAACAAATGAAACCACAAATCAATTGAAAACTACAAACATTAGAAAACTTATAATAATAATAAGGAAAGACATTATACAGTATTCATTATGTTTAGTATGAAAACCATCATAAAATGTTATCTAATTTTTGCAGTAAAAATTATTTTCTAACTACCATTGTAAAATGAGCAAGCTTATAAAATGCACAACATAAGCAAGTTAAAATTATTCCAGAATAAATTCCAAAATTGTGTAAAATTAAGTTATTTAAACTTAAAAAATTATAACTTTCTACAATATTGTATAAAATGCAGAATATACTGCACTGTACTTGTTGCAATATGGGGTGCAACAAGTACCATTCTATAACATGGGTGGGTGTGTAGGCAGAATATACTAAACTACAATAAGTCTAATAAATAACCAAGTTCTAATTACAATCGCACCCGTTTACAAACAATAAACCCATTCATTGCCCACTAATTATTTTTTATATAAAATTGTTTATATTGTACTACATTAGTAAGTGAATTAATATTTTGTGAGTTTCAATTCGACAGTTTTTAACAGAATAATAACCAAGTTAGATAAATTAATAACGTTTATAGCCATTATGAGATAGGCGAGCTAACTGTAATCAAATTAATCCCTGATCTTTATTGAATCAGAGAGCAATTAAGTAAACTATCTTTATTTATAATGTGAATGAAGTTCATAATTAGTAAAAGTTTGAAGTCATTTGGAGTACTTTTAATTACTTTATGTCATAAACATTTCTTTATTAATGTTTTAGATTAAATATAATGTTGAAAATTGAATATTTATAATTTTTAAAGAATATTCTTTAAACAAAAAAAATCATAGCTTAACCTCTGGCCCAGGATTGCAATGTTCATAAAAGGGGTACAAAAGTATTGAGATAGTGAGAGGTAGCGATTTTTGATCAATTTGTCACTGTTTTGCATAATTAGGAAATGTCAAAAAATTATTTAAAATTATTTAAAATAATTTTTTTAAAGTTTTGACTTATTTTATTTAAAAGAGGCTATTAATTACCGGTAAATAAATATTTGTTTTTCATTTGCTTGCATTTGAACTCTTATTGCGTTCAATGATATGAAGATTTCTTAGAGGAGGTGCAATACCATTAAAATATCATTGAAAACTGTTTTGGGAAATACAAAAATCACAGAATAATATTCATATTATGACCTAATACTGTATTGCAGTGCAATCCTGGGGTCAGAGTTTAAGGTATAATAAGTTGGAAAGTAACGATATAATAATCCTTGGTATATTCTTTATACGGTAATAAGAGAATAAAAATATGAATTGTTAAAGAATTACATTATGTTTTGGTGATTGTTTTCAACTAAATTAACAATAAAAAAGTTTAATAATTGAATAAGAGTGTTAGTATTATACTGTACAGGTATATCAAATGTAATTTTAATAAACCTAACAAAATGTATGTTTTGTGTTAACAGTGAATATACTATCGCTTCGCATATGTTATAAATGTGAATAGAGTACAAAAATATATTATAACGAGTATTTACTATAGAAAATGAAGTATAAGAATAGAGAAATACTTAATTCCTATAAGTATTTCTTTGAATGAAATAAATTCTCGGATTTCAGTTTGGGATTCAAAATGAATTAGAGATATAAGACTACAAATACCAGTCAAATAAGCG